GGCCCGATACCAACATGTTCTAATCAAAATTCATTTCCAATTCCTTTAAACAATTTTTTTCAAAAATTCATTTCTCGGGCTTGGGATCTCGGAATTCGATTCCGGGCATATACCAAAGTCCCATATTTTCCTACGGACCCTCCGGGATCGTCAAATCATGGGTCCCGGTCCGTTTACCCAAAATATTGACCGAAGTCAAATTAATTTATTTTTATAGTAAAAAATTTATCATTTTTCATAGATTTTCACATATAAGCATTTCGACTACGCGCCAGGACTATGCACGCAAATCGAGGTGATGCTAAAAGAGGTTTTTAAGGCCTCAGAATGCAGAATTTTATTTAAAAACAAGTGATGACCTCTTGGGTCATCACATTTGGTTAATGAAGATAATGTAGGCCCAAGTGTTAAACCGAAAAGGAGAAAGATCAAGGACGATGGTGAGAGTGGTTTTGATTGCATATCGAAAGAACAAAGGTTTGCTATTAGCTGCAAATTGAATGAGAGAAAAGCTAAGATGAAGGTATTCCCTGTGTTGCTATTAATTTTATACATGTTTATACAATTTCATACAAAGTTATACAGGTGTTTATACATCTTTATACAAGTACTGCTACACTGATTTATACATGTTTAAACAATATTTTAGTGTAGTTTTTGTTCCTGATCTATTTCTTGTTATTTTTTCATATGCAAGGTTGGGGACTTCTATATACAACCAGTTGATCATTTCCATAATAGGATTAGTTCCCATACCGAGACTGATATTGTGAGCATTTTGAAGTAATGTTTGATTGACACACAACTTCAAATGTTCCGTGCTAGTTGTTTTGGGTACTTCTTGGACCTCCCTCAATTTAAAATTCAAAATCAACTTATTCATTGTATACTATTGAGGGAAGTCATACTAGGATGGGAAAGGGAGTTGTGGGTGAAAATTAATGGTTGTTTACTGCGTTTTGGCATTGGAAAGTTTATTGTTATCACTAGTTTGATGTGTGTAGAAGACGACACCACTTTCTATGACAAACCAGATATTAATAGGTTGCTAAAATTGTATTTTATAGGAGATGGAAAAAAGGCTATAACAAGGGGGCAACTTCTTGATCACTTCAAGAAAGGACTGGAATCGGACGAAGATGCGTTCAAGATGACCTTGATTGTGTTTGTCCATCATTTCATATTCTCAGATGCCAATGATCATGGTATCAATAAATATGATTTTGATATCATTGAAAGTGGTCAATATCAGACGTATGCTTGGGGAAAAAAGTCATTTGAAGATATTTTAAAGACATTGAGGGACAGACAGTGTGACTATTTGACAATGTATAGGCTTGGAGGTTTGACACTTATATTACAAATATGATTTTTTGAGTGTTGCTCTATGGTTGACAAGCATCTAGTTGTTTGCGTTGGCATAAATGTGCCACGCATTCTTAATTGGAAAGTCACTAAAACTCCAACATATGCAGATTTGACTGGTGGGGTGATCATGTCTAGTATCGACAAGGTAAACATTTTGTACCATAATACTTCTTCATATATGATTTCAATTTTTCTGTAAGTATGTATATTTATGAATATGTCACAATTTCCTTTTTCTACTATTGTTCCAGTTTTCTTCTTGTAGTTAAACTATAGGAACAATTCCCCTACTTGTGAAGAGATGTCAACTTTGAACATCGACATATTTTTTGAAGTTAATGCCGATGATATTGCATCAGGGGAGGTGCCTACCTTTCACACTAATGGTTATGTCGCTACATCGCCACCTTGTCCTCAGAATATGGAGCAACAGTCTAAACGACCTTATCCTCAGAATACGGAGCAACAGACTAAACGACCTTTTCCTCAGAATATGGATGACAGCCTAACCCGAGTTATGATCCTTTGGTGCGCATTGATCTGTTGAATGCTGAAGTTGAGAAGTTGAGGAGTGTTGTTGGAAAGATACTAGAGCTTTAGTTTTTCTGTAGTTTATCAGTACTTTTTGTATATACATGATTTTTTGATTATAAACATGGTTGTTGATTTTTTTTCTATTTTTTTTGTAGTTATTATGTAGTTTCTTCTTTTGAAAGAGTATTCAATTTTCTGAATATGAAGGAAACCAAGCAAACGAGGGAGGTTGTTACTGATTCTAAGGTAATTTTACTGATAAAACCAAATCACTCAACAGTTATGCCTTCTTTGAATCATCACTCAATAGTTATGCCTTCTCTTTCTATTGTTTTTATTATATTTATCAGCGCATGCCTGATGCCAATACATCTGGTCTCGGTGAATTTGATGGCTATCAATATGATGTTGTTCTTGACTTTTTCGATCAAGTGAATCAAGATAACGTGCTAGCTAACAAGGGAGTTACTGATGGTGTTGATCAAGGTATTTCTTCTGCATTTTATCTTTTTTGGGCTGATTTATCTTTTCTTCATTTTGAAAGTTTTTTGTTATTGATTTTCTCTGTCTAAGGGGCAGCAGGTGATGTCAAGGGTGATACATTTTGGGATGACATTGGCGATGAAGATTCAGCTGTGCTACAGATATCCCAAATTGTTCTTCACAAACCATCGATCATAGACGTAGAAGATGATTACATTTCTCCTAAACAGTCAGTTCGACAGATAGTACCAAAAAAATATGCCAAATCTCCATATTTGCCAATTTTTGATTCGGGGGCATCAGGATCGGCGCACAAGCTCATTGTTTATATCAAGAATCCTTTCACGATCGAAATTGATGATTTTGATCCATTGTCGACATTGGCTAAAGAGTTTTGTGCATTTGTTGATAATGGGATGGATACGAGGCGAAGGTATCTTCACTTTCTTTAATCTCTCATATTCTGATTTTATACTTGTCAATGAAGGTAGTTATGATTACTTTTTATTTTTTGTGATTTGAAGTGCCAAAATATATATACCGATGAAGTAAATAAGCTTGCAGAAGCTTTTACTTTTGGCTCGTGTCATGTGACCACGAAGGATTGGTTCCACTCACTTGCGTATTGTGGTCGACCTTTGATTGGCACGATATTTAATAACTTCCTGTTCTAATGCCTTTTTTTAGTTGTTGCATATCTTTATTGTTTGAGACCCCTATACTGTATACATAGCTTTGTATAATTATAGTATAAGATTGTATAACCTTGTATAAATATGTATACCTCTGTATAATAGTGTATAAATTTCTATATTTAAAAAATCTAGTAGTGATGGTTGTTCTGTTTTATTTCTTGTCTCAGCACTTAAATGTCCTCTTTTATTATTTGAGGAAGAGGGGAAAATATGGGCCGAATGTTTCCATGCGATTTACTACAACTGACTTTGCTTTTGGTAACAAAATCAACTCCCTGTATAAAGATTTCAAAGTGAATCAAGATCCTTTAGTGATTCCTGAAGGACATGAGATAGAAGAGTACATTAGCGGATATTATTGTGATGCAAATGTACCGTGGCACATTGTTGACCACGTCTTATTCCCTATCTATGTGAAGCGCGGAAGAGCAAAATTGGGTCATTGGGTTTTGGGGTTGTTTACATTCATAGATAGGTGCATCCACATATATGACTCTAACCGTGGAGCTATTAATGATAGACTTGCTTTGGATGCTGCATTACCTTATGCAATTCTGATACCTTACTTCTTGAAGAGTTTTAATTTTTATGTCGAGAAGAAGGGCATTTATTGGAACAATAGTGCATATACCAATAAATCCCATTCTGATGCTTTGCAGATTAATCTGGTTAATAATGTGCCCTAACAGATCATGGTAGGTTAATCTCAATTGTTTTACTATTTTACTATTAGTGTACCTATTTGAATCTGTTTTGTTTCTTTTTAATTATAGTGATTGTGGTGCTTTTGTTGTTGTCTTTGCTGAGTATTTCATCTTTGGTAAGGAAATTCGAAAAGATAATTTTGACATTGAGACACTTCGCACCAGGTGGGGATCTTTATTGTGGGATTATGGAAGGAAAAAACAACAGTCCGGTGCAATTAGTGGTGATGAAATCACAGGGAGACTTTTCAGGAAGAGGAAGAGGGGACAACCGAGAAAGTAGTTCTGTTTTTTCCATTTTACTATAGTTTTGCTATGTATCAGGAGTTATTGCCTAGTTTTGTCTAAGTACTATTCTGCTACTTGTGAGATAACCTTAAAGGATATTTTGTATAATTTGTGGTAGTCATTACACATTGTGGCTGTGAATGAATTATATTTTAATGAATATTCAGTTACTTTTGTCCTTTAACAAAGTATGTATTTTCATTATGGTTGCAATTTTGTTAATGTAGCAGCGTTTATACATATGTATACAATGATATACATAGTTATACAAATTTATACAAACTTATACTCTTATTTATACATCTGTATACATATAATACCATTGATTGTTTGCAGTTCCTTTTGTATTTGTACAATCTATCAATATATTTAGCACCATTAAAAATAGCAAGACACTATTATTGGATAATCAAAACATGTATAATGAAACATCTCAATTACTTGTGAAACTTAACTACTCAACATTTGTAACTCTATTGTTTGTGAAACTTAACTACTCAACATGACAAGAAATGTAATAGGAAGTGTTATGTTTCCAACTATTTATTTTGGTCGATTCCTACATGTTTTTCTATTGTGACGACCTTGTCCACACACAGAACATGAAAACGCCCTCTTAGATTCTTTCTCTGAAGCAGGTTTGAGTCTTTCCTTTCTTGGCCTTCATGTATTCTTTCTCCCTTTAGGTGGTAGGACCACATCTTCCAGCACCTCTGTTGGGATTACCCATAAACTCTCATGTGGCATCGAATTCACTGGAAATTTATAAGTTCTAAGGATTTATGCTTCTTGTAGTAAAAAGAGCAATACTGGCCAGGTTTCAGTTGCTGGTTCTTCAAAATTGCCCAAGCATGCGGACATGGAAGTTCATCCATTTGAAATTTTCCGTAACTGCATGTTCCCTCTTCAAGGCACACTATGTTTCACCTTACCCTTCAAACACAGTATATAACTGCTCCGTAGCAGGCCTCACCTGCAAACGTTTTTTTTAAAAAAGTTAAAGAACATTATACATTATTATACAGAGTTATACATACTTATACAAGCAGTAAAATGCAAGTCAGCAGTGTCCAACATCATTATATTTGATTTATTTTACCATCATTTGCTCCGATGCAATCAGATTTTCCCGAAGGAGTTTGTCGTACTTTTTGCCAAGCTCTGTAGATGTCTCCATTGCACTTTTTCTGTTTTTGTTGTTCCATTGTTGTAGCAAATTTGTCATATACTCCGGCAATTGCATTACTGGTAACTCTCTAGCATCCTTGTTTGCTGCATTAATTGACTCTGCAATATTGGAAGTCATTACCATCGACCTTTTTACTTTGGAATATGCCCTAGACCACCTTTCGTAGCCAATTTCAAACAAGTAAGGTTGCACCCTCGGATCAATTTTGCACATCTCTGTCATATGGTACTCAAACTTCTCTATCGTGTAAGCTCTAGCCAAAGCAAAGAAGATATCCTTCAATTGTTTGTGATGTTTCTTGAATGTGCGCTTTACATTCTGCCACAAGTGAAACATGCAAATACAATGTGGTACTTCTGGGTACACAACTTTTGTGGCATTGAAGATGCTTTCGTTTCTATCTGATACTATACACATCCCTTCCCTAACACCAAAAGTACCCTTTATCTGGACAAAGAACTACTCCCAAGATTTATTATTCTCTGAATCTACAATTGGATATCTAAGTGGAAGGATTTTTCCTGTTTATACAAAATAGATATTAGGATTCAAACAATTATACAAATCTTATACACAATTATACAACTTTATATGCAAATTTTATAAAAACAGTAGATGTGAAATCCTATACACTTTTATACATGAAACTAAAACATTATACAAACTGCAGAAACAAGGTAGGTGCAGTCAACTCACCAGCTCCATCCTGTGTGCAAGCAGTCAATATGGTACCCTTATATGCTGCTTTAAGGAAACTTTGATCAACAACCATTATCGGTCTGCAGTGTTCCCAACCCTTGATAGATGCATATAGCAAAACATATGCATAAAGAAAGCATCCATCTTTTGATTTGTGCAACTTTGTAACCGTTCCTGGATTTGTATGCTCCAACATATAAAAATACTTCGGCAACTCCTTATATGAATCACTCGGACTCCCTCTTATCATTGCCATTGCTATCTTTTTAGCTCTCCATGCTTTCATGTAGCTCACTTCAATCCCGCGTTGCTTTTGTATGTCCTCTATTATATTATTTGCGGTGTAAAGTTTTTTTGGATTAACATACTTGTCCTTGACTATACTAGCAATTACACCTGAAGTAGCTTGACGTTGTGTTAAATATCTTTCACCATAGCCGTATGTGTGATTATTATTGTAACTTTTCACTTTGAATATGTTTGCCTTGAAAACGATAGAAGATTTGAAACTCCAAGCACAATTGTCATCCACACACATAAGGTGATACCTAGGATTAAAGATCATTCAACTTCTAAATACATTTGTATACAAAAACATAACTAGATATATACTAATTTTAATACCTATATAAATATTGACATACCTTGTTGCGCTTGATCTCTTCACCTTGAATTGGAACCTCTCGTATACAGCCAAGTTCTTCATCACATTTATAACTGTCTCTTTATCTTTATAAACTTGATCCTCCTCAATAAATTCGTTCAACATATTATCTATTATACCCGTATTTTCACTAAGTTTCGTATTTTCAATCAATTCGATATCAGCCATAATCTCAGTGCTATCAATTGTGGATACATCTATAAAATTGGAACTTGTGGCAACCAAACAACTGGAACTTGTAGCAACCAAAAGATTATCATAAATCTCTTTTACTCACAAACAAGGGGTATTTAGTGAAATTCAAGTTTTTCTTCTTTAATTCAATATACACCTTAACACCTGTATCGTTGTAAATCAGGACCGGCAGAAAATCATCATTTGGGAGAAAGTTAATCTCTATTGTGTTTAACTCACCATCGATCCTAATCTGTTCTGAAATAGCTGCAACTAAATTGTTGTAACTGAATGCCGACTCGACTATTACACAATCGCTGACGAAATTGATAAACTTGTTTTCTTCCCATTCACCACTATGAAGAACGTAAACTGGAAAAAGCTCTATCGAACAAAAAATTGAAATCAAAATTACAGCAAGAATGAAAATTGCGCTGATTTGCAGGAAAACAAATTTCACTTTTCGTGTTTGATTTGTTGTTAATTCGAGATGAAGAAGAATTTCTAGGATTTTTGGAGATGCATTGACCGCAAGATCTCGTTTTTGTAGATTTGGGGAAGAAGAATGGAAAGAATGAGAGAAAATCCCGCTGAAAGATACAAAATCCCGCTTCTGACTCCCAAAAAACGAAAATAACGCCCCTTTTTTTGGATATGGGCCTCTTATTTTTAGGCTACTCAATTATAAATTGAAATATGAGCTATAAAGTTGAAAAGCAAGCAGTCCAGTTATTTTAATATGAAATTTTCCCCTTTAAAAAAGCATAAGTGTTGAAGATGATTAGGATATATTTGATTTTCAAAAGGCAAAACTACAATATAAAATCTGTAAGACGGAAGGAATTAATATTAAAATAGTTGCATGCAAAGATATATATGCCGCTTTCAATGAATAAGATAATGCATTAAACTACTTTTTACTGCCACTCTTAGCTAACAACATTTCACGTAGTAGCTCGAAGGTTACGTGATGCATTATATGTTCATGCAAAATATTTACATATATCGATAACCTAAAGAATGTTTACATTATTATGCATTGTATAAAACACAAATGCTAATTAACTGGTTATATATCTTCTTTTCAACATTCTCAAATTACCTTATAATTATGAAAAGTTTAACTTCTATATACACATACAATGTAACAGAACTTTTACTGTATAAAGTTACCGAAACGAAATTATAGGCAATCACCATAAAAAGTGAAATTATTGGCCTGAAAAATAGTGTATTTTACCTGCTACAAATATTACAATATTACATAACATACACAAGTTGTTTTAATCAAGGCGGATTCAGGACTTCAATTTTATGGATGGATCAATATTTAAGGTTGTTAGAATTGAACCCATCTTAATTTTACAGTTATGAGTTCATATTTACTATTTTCTTACAGTTTTAATGAATTTGCACGTAAATTTATGTTTGTCTTGAAAGTTATGGGTTCAATTGAACCCGTAACCATACCGTTATATCCGTCACTAATTTTAACCTGCTATAAGAAGTTAAAACACATTAGTTACATGCAAAGATGGACTTATGCTTGAAGAAGACGGATCACTGGACCCATTAATTAACTTCGGCAAAAGGTTTGAATATATAAGTGCATATGGTCATATATTTCGCTTGGAATCTTTAACATCAAAAGTCCGATAGGGGCACTGGTTGAACTGTTTGCTCATGTGTCCCGTCACCTTCAAATCATGAGTCCGCATCTGGTTACCTGCTATTACTGATTGAAACATATACCAATCAGTTATGTATATACATCTTAATTGTCCATGTATATAAGTAAAATTCTATTATAAAAAGTTATTTTTTTAATAATCTAACAACGCAAAAGATTTTTACCATTGAGATAGAAAGTAAACTCATAAGTCATAACTCTTACCACTTCTCTTTTAGTCAACATAAATCTTGCCACTCAAATATTATTGTCGTTGTTTGTACCTTGTTGCATGCGTCTTCCAACGAATTAGGCGGAAAATTTGATTTGGTATTCTTTTAATTAATTCCTTTGTCTCCGTTTCGCATCTAACCCAATTTGCACATTCTTTAATCCTCCTTCATTTGTCCCATTCTCACCCTCTCTGCTATAAAAATTTCTCACTGGAGATTAAACACCATAACTCCTAAAAATATGTCGATGAGAATCATTCCTGCATTAGATGATTTTCACACACCTAATACTGACAAGGAAAATCAAAACGCTATAATACCAGATACTGATATTATGATCGAGTTGCCTCGATCTTCCTCTTCAGAAAAGCGAGAAGACCATAGTCATGCTCTTCTCGCTTTCATTGGACTAAGATTCATATTATCCTCAATGCTAACGAGGATTCATGCAGGCTATTTCAGAATAAGCTTATCTTTATGTTGGGAAACTTTATTATGGAAAACACTACTTGACCCAACCAATAATGAAACAAAATTCTTACGTCATGTGCCTCAAATGATCTATCGTCCCATTCTAATTTTCCTATGGTCATTTGCACTATTGGTTCTAGTTTTGCTTTCTTTACTCTATCTCTTGAGGTGCTTCTTTCGATTTAATTTGGTTAAGGGAGAGTTCGTGCACCATGTTGGAGTCAATTACCTTTTTGCCCCTTGGATTTCTTGGCTTATATTACTTGAATCCCACCCTTTTATAGCACCAAAACACGTTGGTTTTAAAGCTCTTTGGTGGGTTTTTGCAGTTCCGGTCATAGTTTTAGACGTGAAAATTTATGGACAATGGTTCACTAAGGGAAAGAGGCTTTTAACAGCCGTGGCTAACCCTACGAGCCACTTATCGGTCATTGGGAACTTAGTCGGGGCTCGAGCCGCGGCTAAAATGGGCTGGCAAGAGGTTTCTGTTTGCTTATTTTCATTAGGGATGGTTCATTATTTGGTGCTTTTTGTGACGTTATATCAACGATTATCAGGAAGTGATCGGCTTCCAGCTATGTTGCGACCAGTTTTCTTCTTATTTTTTGCAGCTCCAAGTATGGCTAGCTTGGCTTGGGCATCAATTACTGGAAGCTTCGATACTGCGTCAAAGATGCTCTTCTTTCTCTCGTTATTCCTCTTTACGTCACTGGTAACGTTGCATTTGAAAATATGGCTTAGAAATTAGTGTTTCTTTTTTCTTTTTTTTTGGGAGTATTTAGGTACGGTTTAACTGGGGTCTTGAGTCTAGTGCTTAGGTCCCAAGATAAGCCCCTTTTCCCGCAAGAGTAATTAAAATATACGTAACTACTTTAGATCGACAGCACAAAATTGTTTTTATATTATCAAAATATTTAAAAAGTAACTTGAAGGTATTTGGTCCTAAAAAAAAAAGATAGATTAGCTGATACGACATGTTAAATACAATGATTTTTAGCACATACTAAAAGTTAAATCTTACCTATTATGAATAAAAGTATCTTTACTTGTTATCATAAAAATGATTTGATAGTGTAAAAATTTATTGGAATACAAAAGTTAAACTCTAATAAGTGAAACTTAGTTACTTAAAAATATAGCATATAACCTATTATAATATATGTTAAATTACAATGACGACATTATATTTTTACATTACCAATATATAATTAAATATAAGATTAGAAGAGTCATCCTCAACTTACAATAATCTTGGAAAGTTGATGAATATCGACTTTGTCTTTTTTTCTTTCTATTATTTCAAGATTTCCTCTACAAAACCTAAACCTAAGTTTAGGAATTTTCTGTTATGTTGCATGTGCAATAGATGAAATTGACCTCACAACAACTTTGTCTTCAAGTCTACGTATGTGTAGCGTAGAATTTAATATTGTTTCGCTACATCCTATTGTTTTATGATAGATTCAACTTGCTATTCATGTTTCTTTCAAAGTTTTTGTCTTTTTATATATAGAAAAATTCATGTTATTGGCTGCTATTTAACTATTGTCTTCTTGTACGAGCCGTATACATGCCGTGATCAAGACGACTCTCACTTGTCACTCTACTAGATCGACCAGCCCATAATTTCTCCTTTTTTACTTTCAATAAATCTCTTTTTTGGAATTTTTACACAAAGTAACTAGATGAATTTTTTTTATCGGTATACATAAATTATACACTAAATATATATATATTTTTACACGTCTTATACATATATTATACGTTTCCAGATTATTTTTAGTTTAAGCGGTTGAAAGACATCTATATAGAGTATAATTCTTCAATCTTCCAATTAGGAAATTGACTTATTTTGTTGTTGTTTTTCCTTTGAATTTTTAGATATGCAGGCCAACTCTCTTCAAGAAATCAATGAGAAAATTCAACGTAGCATGGTGGGCATACTCATATCCAGTAACACTATTAGCTTTGGCTTCCACAAGATATGCAAAAGAGGTCAAAGGAAAAGTGCCACACACCATAATGCTCATTCTTTCATCCCTCTCTGTTCTTGTTATTATTGCCCTCTTGTTATCCACTGCTCTCTACTCTAAAATGCTCTTACCTGATGAAGATCCTTCTCTCACTGCTAAGCTACCCAAACAATCTTCACGAATTGTTTGATCAAAGGCGTATTCAAAATTTTAAATTAATACAGTAAAGTAGATATTAGCAAAATATGTATTGTGAAAGACAATGAGCGCGTCCCATTCGCTATCAGACTGTTACAGAGTTAATTTAATGGTCTCCAGCACAGGGCCAGCAGGAGTCTTTATATATATGAGTCTATCCTATGTATTATATTAACTGAATAAGCTTAAGGCTGGTAGCTAGCAGTCATTATATTGTTTACTTGCCAATTTGCCATAACTAGTCTATATCTGTCGAGTTTAGACATTGTATTCAAATATTATTTGGGTTTCCATGTACTACTTTATAGTGATTTTTAATTAATAAAGTTTATATTGTATTTTAATTTTTGGTTAGTTCTCATCTTTGTCTAAGATCTAGCGATAATTAACATATGTGTGACGTATGAGATATGTCCATGTTTTCAGTGACCAACTAATTTTGTCTAAAGATATATAACAAATCACTATCGTTATAGCCAACTATTAGGTACCTGAGTTTGATATTTTAGTTATTTATATTTTTTTCCTCTGTTGAAATTAAGGACCTAATTTGTTTGTCGTAGATATTACCTGTAATATTGTTGAACGAGGCAGATAGTAAATAAATAAATAAATAACTCAACCAAAACATAAAAGAGGTTTGATGGGTAAGAGCATCAAATGTAGTCAACGTTGGTTTATAAATAGTACGTAGTACACATCTATGATCTTCTACGGACATGGGCGGAATTTGGTAAAATTATGCGGCACGTGAATCCATGGTCTTTCCGTAAATGTTAAATGATGCACTTGATTGAAGGTTGGATATTTAACGAGAGGAATAAGGATCACTTCCCGCTTAATACATTTTTTCCTTCTTTATTTAATAGTACACCTGTACTAGAAATATGAGATCCGCATCTATCTACAGATATGGAAAGATAAAAAACGGTGTTATCAACTAGCAAATATAAAAACTTTATGAAGATGACAGGTGAAGTTTCTCCCATCGTTAATATCATAGCAGTTGGAAAAGAGGAATGCACAAACATGTTTTAGTTGATTATAATTATCATTTGCTACGTTCCTTAATTATTTCAAGGACGGTAACGTATAATTTTTATTACTTTAACTCAAATTTTCATAAACCACTATAGTTTTATTCGCGTAAGTATTAATTATATTTGTTTACGCAATGAATACAACTAAGACAAAATACAGAAAAACAGAATGTTATTGTTGAGAGCCGAACTTAAGACCTTGGCTAACCAAGCGAGCTATAATACTCTAAAAATTCGGACCAGGTGTGAATATGTTAAATGGGTATTAATGTGATATTTTAGACATGTGAAGTCTCATCGAGTTGAGTATGTGGAAATAGTTATTTTGGAATCAAGGCGGAGAGTGGTACATAAGATTCGATAAAATCGACTAAGTTTATGGAAGGCATGTGTCACACCCTACATTTTGAGGGTCAAGTCATCCATGAGTTCTGCGTATTACAGTGCGCCAGGACGAATGTCAGTCGCGTAGGCGGCGTGTGCTGACAAAGTATTGTGAAGGAACATCCGGCAGAGGGACTATGTATGAGGCAACAACCATCAAGATATGTTGTGTTGCATGTCCTAAGTGTGCCAAGAGAACTTAATGGGAATCTAGAGATCTCGGCTGTAGGCCTTATTCCTAGTATGCCCTTATATATGCGCGAAGGAAGGCCATTCTGATTCTCTGACCAGAACTAGACGATTGCTGAATCTTGGGCTTTTTAATTTTAAGCATATATAAGGGGGGTATAGGTGTTGAAGCTCAGCCAGCCTCCCACGCGCGTGCTGCCATCAAGCCGCACCAAGTGAGCTACCTTGGGGGAGGACCTCAAGGGCCTGCCTGGACATCTCAAAGGAGTGTCTAAGATATCCATATGGGTTTGGGAACTCTATGGACGGCGCGACGCCTTAGGACTAGCGTTGGGCACCAAACCGGCACTGGAGGCTTGACATGAGGGACGGTTATGCCCTGCGGGCTACCGAAATGATGGATGAAGACCTCTATGCCGATTGGATACTTGAAGCACCTTTCGTAGGGGCCTCATGTGTCGACTTGTGAGCTTAGCTTGGGTTCAGCTAGGCGAGCAAGGGTCTGTTGGCCTAGACGTGCAGTTGTGGGGCGACACTGCACTATGTAGGATGGAAGTATATCGCGAGGGCTATGTTTGGCTATGCCATAAGACAAGGATAGGCATGCTACGAAAGACGCACATGACAGAGGCCAAGGACTAAAGGTTGCCCTACTCGGGCGAAGCACAAGCCGGGTGCGGATGCACGAGGCGAGTGTCAAGCTTGAGGATTAGGTTGTGCACGCGAGAGCGATGCTCAGTGCTAGGCGAAGGACGTATGTGTCCCTAGCCAACCCCGGGTGTGCGCATGGATGATGATCCGTCAGATAAGAAGCGCCACAGCTAGTCAAGGCTACGAGCCTAGACATCATACGGGTGGCACAGTTGGAGCGAGCCTTTTTGAGCAAGCTCCACCACAGGCACAGGATCGTGCTAGAAAACCTGGGATAAGGAAGGGTTGTCCTGTAGTGCGGGGTGACTACAGGCGCCGCACGGGCATTTTTGTGCCGCTAGCGTTCAGTAAAGAGTTAGGACTGTGACATGTGGTATCAGAGCCAGGTTAGGCCATATTTTGCCATGACAAATGATATCTAAGTAGAAGTTGAGATGGCGAGTGCATTTTGGATATCAGTGTGGAGATCACATCAAAGCAGAGATTGATGTTCATATGCCACCAGAGATCGAGAACCTGATACTACTGGTCTAAAAAGAGGGGATTGGTTGCGTGAGTTACGGCTAGAATGTGCTTTGTCAGCCATGAACTTCAACCTACAGAATCAGACCCTTTCACAGTCGTTGTTTCTGCCATCGTCTGTGTCTTGAAAGGTGATTTTGGGGCATCTTAGTTTGATTGAGATATCGTAAGGGATGTCTTCCATGCAGTGGGTACTGTTTTAAGAGGGATGCTATATAGGCACAGTTGGTTTGCAAAGAGAGCCATTGTGCGATGCTGTTGGGATAGTTCCACAAGAAGGGACAGACGGTTAGCAGAAGCTCAATTGTCTTAATTGTGATGATCCGACAGTGTGTCAGAAACTCTGTCAACAGTTAGTTAGCAGCTTTGCTAAGCAAAGCATGGTAAGGAATGTCGAATGGACTGAGCGTGTGTTCCTTGCGCGGGTTGAATACCGTTTGAACCATGAGGGTTCAGTAGCATTTGGGAGCTCGTCAGGTTGAGGCATTTTGTTCATGTTAAGCAGCAAGTTGGAGCTGTGGGCCGTTTTGACAAAGGAAATGGACAACCCTAGTTTCTTTCGTAAGTCTGTGCTCCAGTTGAATGTGATGATATACCGATGAGTCGGGTGGTCAAAAAAAGGCCATGTTTGCCAGGTCGTGTAGCCATATTACCAAGAGTGTGAGCCATGGACTATAAACAAAGGGCATGACCGTGAAGAGATCCTGCTGAGGATGCGAGAAGCGCATCAGTTGAGTGTCTTTCCTGCGGGATAGACTTATAGACTGCCTAAGGGCATTGAGATGTACCTAGCCATCTCAAGGGTTGCGATGAATGGCAGGAGAGTCCCTCGACAACAGCAAAGAAGGACCTATGTCAGGCTTCTTAGCGGGAGTGCATGAGTGTCACAATGGGGTGGAGTCAGCCACCAAGATTATGAAAAAGAGCCGAACCATTTGATGGGGAAGCATTGTGCTGAATTGCTAAGGTAAGGAGACAAATTCGAAGGAAATACGAAGCTCCAGAAGTGAGCGGGATTCTAAGTTAGAAGGTGTCGTTCTGGAAAGGGATACGCCAAGTGATCGGGGACCATTGAGATGGGGCCATGTGTGAGGCACACCGAACCGGGAAGCCATGCTAGCAGAACCAAGAGGGTTCTTGTCTATAGGGCGAGTAAAAAGTTACTACCGGGAGTATTGGGTACTTGCTGAGGAAGTGACAGTTGGAAAACAAAGAGTTTTGTTCTTGAATGCGGTGAAGCTATAACTTTGAGAAAGCAATACTCACTGAGGGTACGTCCCAAAGAGCGAAATGGTTGCCAATAAGGGACAGGTACATTGAGAAGTATCCTCCACATTGAGTGTGGGAGGATCTACCTATGCAAAGGCGCTGGTACAGAATTGTGTGTCCTGAAGTGAGCTAAACTTTCCAAGGCAATGAGGGCGAGTAAAGGGCTACGCGAGTTGCTGAACTGTGTGAGCTACGCCTAAGCACACTGAGGTGCTTTACCATTGAGGGAAGAGCTTCGGACATATGAAGGCCGTGAGGGTCATGGTGTGGTCGACTAGTGTGGGTCGCCACAAAGTTAGACACCAGAGGGTGCAAGTGCGGAGGCACTTTCCGAGCGAACACCGATAGGAGGTGCAGTGCAGAAGGCACGCTTGGAAGATACTTGGGAGGAGAAGTGCAAGGGGCACGACTCCATTTTGAGCTGGACTTTGAGAAAGTTTGACCCACAAGGATTAAGGGAGCCAGTGCACATCCCTGAGGGGGCAGACTCCGGGTTATCGTAGGCATTGTTGTGTTATCGGGGACGATGACAGATTAAGTGTGGGAGGATGTCACACCCTATATTTTGAGGGTCAAGTCATCCATGAGTTCTGCGTACTACAGTGCGCCAGGACGAATGTCAGTCGTGTAGGCGGCGTGTGCTAACAAAGTATTGTGAAGGAACATCCGGCAGAGGGACTATGTATGAGGTAACAACCATCAAGATATGTTGTGTTGCATGTCCTAAGTGTGCCAAGAGAACTTAGTGGGAATCTAGAGATCTCGGCCGTAGGCCTTGTTCCTAATATGCCCTTATATATGCGCGAAGGAAGGCCATTCTGATTCTCTGACCAGAACTAGACGATTGCTGAATCTTGGGCTTTTTAATTTTAAGCATATATAAGGGGGTATAGGTGTTGAAGCTCAGCCAGCCTCCCCCGTGCGTGCTGCCATCAAGCCGCACCAAGTGAGCTACCTTGGGGGAGGACCTCAAGGGCCTGCCTGGACATCTCAAAGGAGTGTCTAAGGAATCCATACGAGTTTGGGAACTCTATGGACGGCGCAACACCTTAGGGCTAGCGTTGGGCACCAAACCGGCACTGGAGGCTTGACATGAGGGACGATTATGCCCTGCGGGCTACCGAAATGATGGATGAAGACCTCCGTGCCGATTGGATACTTGAAGTACCTTTCTTAGGGGCCTCAGGTGTGGACTTGTGAGCTTAGCTTGGGTTCAGCTAGGCGAGCAAGGGTCCGTTGGCCTAGGCGTGCAGTTTTGGGGCAACACTGCA